ATGTGTACATGAGCAGCATAGCAGGCTAATAATGTTTTGTAAAAAATGCAAAAATGTATGGTTCTTTTGTGGTGAGGAGGACAGTGAAAATGTAATAATGATGAGTCCTATAAACAATGTAGGCAAACTTGCATCAATTCAAATAAGAAAAACTAACAACAAATATTCACAGTGAGGAAATCACTCACCTTGCTCTGCACCTGTAGTGAGTATTTGTGTAGGTTGATTGCTTGTATTTTCCGCCTCCGTTGTATTTTGAAGTAGTCTGTACTGTGTTGTTGCCGATCCTGGAATAGCTGTATCAGTGAGAACATTTTGAATTAATACATTGTATAATTAATCTTATTTTTAGTCTTATTTTATGATACATTGCTGAAAATAAAAATTAATCATTCTTTTGTGGTGGAGACAGTGAAGAGCCTTATAAACAATGCAGGCCAACTATTGTATGAATACAAAGTAACACAAATTCAAAGTGAGCAAATCTCTCACTTTGCTCTTGACCTGTAGTATTTGTGTTGCTTGTATTTTCCCCCTTGGTTGTGTTTTGAAGTAGTCTGTACTGCGTTGTTGCTGGTCCATGAGTAGTTGTATCGTGAGAACATTTCTAGTTAATAATTGTTTAATTTAAGGCTTTTTCTATAACAGACTATGAATTTGTATGTAATATATTCAAATGTAGACTGTTCCTTAAACTACACAAAAAGATATGTTCTTTGGTACTAAACTAGCTGCTAATTTTAAGCTTTTCACCCTATTCATGTCACATCTTAGATTTATGAGGATGAATGTGTGACAAATTACATTTGAAAGTTATACTTGGATTCTGTCTGGTTGTTGTTGCTGGTTTAGTGGTTGGTTTAAGATCTGTAAAAAAGGCAGAATATGGACATATTACATATTGTCAAATGTAGCCTGTAACAGTCTGTGTAGATGTAAAGGCTGCTGAGGAAAATGTGATGAACGCACCCCCATGACAGATGAAGGGAAGAGTGACATTACATTGGATGTCATTCCATCTCCCTGTTTGGTTCACCATCACTACAGTACAGTTGTGATGCCTGCTGATGGGTTTCAGCTGGCTGAAATTCCAGAAACGAAAAGAAAACTTGCTCTGATCTGACCATGACCAGGCATCTTTAAATAGTCCAATCCATACATCAGTTGTTGTTTTTTTGTTCTTGCCATTTTTTGTGCAGGATCTGACATTGGCTAAATCTGTGTGAAAGGTTCTGCAATATTCTTGTGCCTCCTTCCAGGGTTTGTTCGTCTCAATCAGGACATACTTTTCATTGGCTGTTGCTACAGACAAACAACAAGAAAAAGTTCAAAATGGCCGGTAATATTTCGTCATGACTGTTACGTAATGTTATGTAAATAGTCACAAAACATTACAAAACTAATGTGTCATATATTTAATTCTTAATGCCAAATAGTTTCAATAGCAAATCTTACCATTAAAGCATACAAATTGCTTTTGTGAGTCACAGTTATCATTAAACACTTTCCAGTTGTTGTCCATTGCAGCACAGCTCTCATTATTACTTATAATTTTACTGTTTTTGAATATCTCTCCATTGTAGAAACTGTCTGACAGGGTCCAATGCCATTTGAAATCATTACCTCTATAAAGCCCAATATACACATCATACAAAACATCTTTTATGCTTTTGAGCAAGTTGTTCATCTCTTTTGCATTTTCCACAGTCGCCAGGTCTGTGTACTTCTCACGGCAGAATCTCTGAGCCTCAGTCCAGTTCTTTCTGATATTTATGAAGTGATAATGGTAAGATATTTTGCTTGAAGTGAAGGAAGAAAGCCCTGCGAAGAGCATAGAATAAATATGGAAGAATTAATGCATGAAGAAAAGTAAGCATATCCTTGTCTATTATGGCATTAAGTGCTAAATTACATCAGCAGTTTCAGTGGTTAAGAAAGAGAATTAAAGGCTGTAAAAAAGCTTACCTAAGACAGCAAGGAGTATGAACAGCATGATGGTGCTGCGTTCATGCAAATGACACCCTGTGTGTGTTATATTACAATTCTTATTACATTCTTTCCCTTTAAATTAACAGATCTAGATAGGCAAATGAAAACCACACTTGTGTTCCTGTAACTGAACACCGAAAGGGCCACAAAACACAAAGATCCTCTATAGTAAACTACCTCATAATAGACTAAAATAAATGTCATTTGAATACTATACTTCCTATGAAACATATAAATATTTTTGTCAGAAGATCTAAAACCACAGCTTTGCCAATTAGCATAATGTTGTGCAATGAGCAAATATATTTAATTTGTATTAGTACAATATTACAATTTTAAATATATATATATATATATATATATTATTCATATTACAGTATACACAACGTATTTGTATTCTTACAAAAATTACAGCCATGTTCACAAGCACATAAAAAAATGAAAGTGTATGAAAGAGCCTTAATCAGACATGTGTTCAGATACAGATCACATATTTGCTGGTACTATTAAACAATTATATTTAAAAATTCCTCATTACCTGTACATTATGTTATGAAATTAACTCACTATTGTGCATTTTCTTCACATGGCCACACTTTCCTGTTGTCAAACTCTGAATTAAAGCCAAACAAATAAGAATAATAAAATACATTAATTCATAGACCATATGAGAAATAATGTAACATTGTATTATCAGTGTGCTTTGTTGCTAACAGTTTATTATATTGAATATCATGTTACACATTAAATGGCATGTAAATCTCACAGTATCCTTTAAAAATTTTAATAAAAGTGCATTTCTCTCTGACTGAATCCTCACAGTTTTCCATCGTTCTTTATGGTTAAAATACATTAGTACATATTTGGCAGATTAAATTGAGCATTTCGCTCTCTGGCCTCCCGACCCAACGGTGCCCCCCAGTGGACTCCATAGCTCCTGACGGCCCACACTCCTCATAGCCATGTGGCCCATGACCAGACGCCCTGTTCTGGTAGCAGCCTGCTTCTCTGTTCTTTATCCAGAACCAGAAGTTGAAGGTGCAGGTGTAACGGAGTCCCAGCCATACATGAGAAGTGGAGGCCTGGATGGCTTTTCTCGCTGCCCTGTTCTGAAGCTCCTCACTGTGAATGGAGACCAGGTCCACATGGTGCTTTCTGCAGTAAGTCACAGCTTCAGTCCACGTCAGGTTCTCACGGACCAGAATCAGGTTATCTTTGGAGTGAATTGACAAAAATACGGATTATACTGAGTTGTAAGTGGAACTATAAGGAAAGTGCATAATACACCTTTATAAGGTATGATGTAAGACAATTATAATATTTGGTAATATTATCGATTCAACTGCAATGACACCATCAGATGACAACTACATTCGAACTGAATTGAGCTGGATAATGACACTGACACTATTATTGAATCGAACTGAATCAAAATTAATCTAAATTGAGCTGAATAATAACACTGTCTTTTGTGGAGCTGCTTATAGCTGACTTGAACAAGATTTCAATTGATGAACTTTGCAGCATTGACGCTGTTATTAAACTGAACTGAATCAACACTGAACTGACTTGAGCTGAATAATGACACTACAGTCTTCTGTAGAGCTGCTTTACAGCTAAAATTGAGTTTGTTTCTTAAGTGATGGATTCTGCAACATTTAAACAAAACATGCTATTTTCCTTTTTATTACAGTGAAGCTGCTGTGGCACAATCTATAGTGTATATAAGTTATATATAAAGTTATATATATTGTATATAAGTTATATATTAATAAAGTTTACTTGACTTGATAAAATAATAGCATACATTGAAATACAATACAACTAGTATAACTAAATATTTAACTATTATTATATGTACTATTTATTGAACCTTGAAAATGTGTCTGCTCAAGGAAGCAAGCATTAGAGTTAAATTATTCTTTATAATAAAGAGTATAAGCCGAATATGTGATACAACAGTTAAATAATCAAGAAAGTAATATTACCTTTTTTCCTGATACTTTGTCTATTTTTGCCAACAAAAGAGTTCCCAACAAAGCCAAAGCATGTCTCAGAGTGTTTTGTTCCTGAATTAATCTGGTGTTTTTGAACGAGTCAGTCAATGATAAAGATGGTCACGTGTTGCTGTCTAATAGTGTTACTTGCAGAAATACACAGACTGTCTAATGAGAGTCTGTCTGGAACCTGCACACAAGCCGATGCATGAGACAAACACTGAAAAGTCTTAGTTCAGCCAACTAAATGCAAGAACCAGAACTAATGACAGAGCATCAAAAACATTCACAGTGAGCATTTTCTTGTACCTTGCTCTGGCACTGTAGTGAGTATTTGTGTCGATTGTGTGCTTGTATTTTCCCTCTCAGTATTAGTTGTTGCTGGTCTAGGAGTAGCTGTACCAGTGACAACATTTTGGTTAATAAATTACATAGTTAATGCTTTTGCTGTAACATTTCTCATGTGCTGAACAACAAGTGTTAAAAGGTTCAAAGGATAATATGATTTTAACTGTATTTTTAAGCCATACTCCACCCAAATATGACAATTATGTTCAGTCACCCTCGTGTCGTTTTACAACTGTGTGACATTCTTTTCTTCTGTGCAGCTTAAAAGAAGATAGTTTGAAAAATGTTTTCAGTGCATGGACTCCTGTGTTGTTTCTTAACCTTCTTCAAAATATCTTCTCTTATTGTTCTGCAGGAGAAAGAAATGCAAACAGACTTAAACTAGGGCTGCACGATTGATCGTAATAAAATGTTGTTAACCAAAGAGAAGCTTTAAGGTCTCTCTGTGGTTTTCCGACAAAATAAAAGCTTTATGAAAATTACTTTTTTTTATGCCAAATTGTGTAGCCCTACAAACTAGCACAGCAAGCCTTGAGCTTTTTGTTTTTTAACTGAATTTTACAATTTTATTTTTTTTATTGTCAGAAATAAAAATCATCCCAAAATTGTGCATCCCTATTTGGAACCAAATGAGCGTGAATAAATGATGACAGCATTTTCTTTTACTTTTCTTTCTTTCTTTTTTTTCTATCCCTTTAATGTTCGTGCTGGCAATATACCTGGTTAAGTGGTTGATTGAGATTTCAGATCTGTAAAGGAGTCAGATTAGATGCATATTACATTATGAATTTTTAAAAGTTTTAAACACAAAGAAGAGAAAAAAATGAACACACCACCATGACAGGTGAAGGCCTGAGTGCTGTTACATTGAACGTCATTCCATTTTCCTGTTTGGTTCAACATCACTGTAACACAGTCTCTTCTGTTGTTACTAAACTGACTTGAAATCCAGAAACGGAAAGAAGAGTTGCTCTGATCCGACCATGACCAAGAGTCTTTAAATAGTCCAATCCATACATTGGTTTTTGCGGTGTTCTTCGCATCTTGATTTTCTGATACGTTTCTGACATTGGCTAGATCTGTGTGAAAACTTGTACAATATTCTTGGGCCTCCCTCCAGGATTTGTTCTCCACAATCAGGATATACTTTTTAGTGGCTGTTGCTACAGACAAATGACAAGTAAAAGATTATAATGGCTGCTAATATGTTTCTGAAAATAAGTTTATGAAACTGGATCACTATCGTGTCTGTTACAATAAATAAAAACAGTGGGAATGTAATTCTGTAAGCTATGTCACAATACAATGAACAGACAATTGTATAATAGAAAATCTTACCATTAACTCATACAAATTGCCTTTGTATGTCACAGCTATCACTAAACCATTGCCCATTTTTGTCCATTGCAGCATAGCCCTCATTATTATTTTTATGTGGTTGGTTATTTTTCCAGTTTTCAAATGTCTTTTCATTGTAGAAACTGTCTGGCAGGGTCCAGTGTGCCATCTGAACACTTCACCTCTATATAGTCCAATATATGCACCATATGAATCATCAGTTATGGTTTTTAACAAGCTGTTCATCTCATCTTCATTATTCACAGTCGCCAGGTCAGTGTACATCTCACGACAGAATCTCTGAGCCTCAGTCCAGTTCTTTCTGATATTTATGAAGTGATACTGGTGAGATTTTTGGCTTGAAGTGAAGGACAAAAGCCCTGAGAAGAGCAAAAAAATGTATTATTGATGTCTTTATGACAAAAATTACCAGCACATTGACTGTAATTCATGGTATGCTAAGCACTACAAACACTTGACAACATACATATTTGTGGAAAATAGTTTTTGAAAAGCTTTAAAGTCACTTTTCAACAGAAAGCATTCAGAATTTGTGTCATCCTATTTACCTGATCAAAATCATAAAATGCAACTCCATGTTTTGTTAAAACACTTACCAAAGACAACAATGAGAAAGAAAATCATGATGTTGTAATTTCAGGAGTAACACAGAGCTCGGTGTTTGAGTAACACATGGTCCAAGCAGCTTTCTTTTCTTCCTTTTAAACACAAGCTGACACCAACAAAACAAATCACAAGTTGACATGGCATGTAATGTTATAGTACTCAACTCAAGAAAAGAGTACTATACTGTACATTATTGTTTCTCCTCTATGCCCCGCCTTTCTGAAACGCGTACATTTTTACAAAGCTCATCAGTCTGTAAAGCGAGGTGTGCTCTGATTGGCCAGCTATCCAGTGCGTTGTGACTGGCCGAATACCTCAAGCGTGTGACGGAAATGTTACGCCGGAGGCCTAGAGTGAGCCGCGAGTATGCGGAGCCTAGAGTATGCGGAGCCTAGAGTATGCGGAGGCCGGCTTGCCCACGCACTTTTGGGGCCCCCAGAGATCTGTTTTATTAGTAGTAACAGTAGTAGTAGTAATAATTACGGGTGGCTTATTTCAGCATTTCCGGCAAAATTATCTCCCCCCCCCATTCACTGCATGGTTTCGTCCCGTCCTACGTATCCTAGAGTCACTAGCTGTGTCCCAATTCAAAGACCGCATCCTTCGGAGGACGGGTCCTT